ATATACATAGATACATACATACATGCATGCATAGTACATACATACGTACCTGTGTGATTGAAACATATACATTCCATGATCCACAGACGGACATACATGCATGCATGCATACCAAATACATAACAAAGAAATCCCAGTACGACTATTGAAAAGTCTCTGAATGATCATTCATTGAACTGCCTACATCATGCAGACTTATCTTCCTCCGTTCATCGGAGGTCTTGCGGGGGATATGCTAAATTCTTGATTTACAAAACCCATGAGTCCCAAATCCCACCTGCTTCTGCGTGGGCTGCGACACATGCGGATAGATGTGCTCAAAGAACATGTCTCGAATCGCACACCACTTGATGTACGACTGCCGCACTAGTGGCGGGCGGCGCCTTGCAAAAACACGATCCTCGGGATTCGCAAACGACGATTCAGCCTTTCTGGCTGCAGGTTTCTTGCGAGGTTCCTCTTCCCCACTGGTCGCCTTCATTGAAGGCTTCTTAAGCACTGCCTTCTCCTCCGGCTCACTCGGTGCCACCACATCGACATCATCCATGCTTTGCATGATGCTTGCACCAGGTTTTTTCCTGGGCCTGTTCGCGGCCGGCTTCTTCTGCTGGCCAACCCCTCTGCACGACTTACCTCGCTTGAGCGCCTTTCGGAGCTCGTGCTGCTCCTCTGGCGTCAACGTAGGTTTCTCCTGGCGATGGCGTTTTTTGGGCGAAGCGGGCTTTAGGCTTGAGTTTTGGGCTGCTGGTTTTGTTCATCGATCGAGTCCTTGTCTTGCTTCACATCGTCTTTGGAAGCTTCAGCACCACCACCAAGCTTCTTTGTACTGCTTCGGTCGGGTGTGGTCTTTTTGCGGAAACGGTTGGGTTTAGCTGACACCGGGGGAGGCGAAGGTTCCACATTCTCCAAAGCATTTTCCACATCATATTACTCCAAGGTTTCCATAGCCTCAGTGTTGCGAGGGCACGATTGCAGCAGCAGTCGCAGCAGCAGCAGCACGATCACATATGATGTCATATATATACATGCATGCATAGGTGTATATTTGCATGTGCATGTATAGATGCCTAGGCATGTTATGCAATTTTCTCCTAGCTTTCCTAAACAGGAATAGGCGAGAAGCATAAAGCACATATATGCATACATGCATACATACATACCGACAGACAGACAAACAGACAGACATACATACATGCATACATATATACATATATACATGCACACACATACATACATACATACATGCATATACACATACACACACATAGACATACATATACGGGTACATATACATATACATATATATATACACATAAACATGAACATAAACATAAACATATTTACATGTACATATACATATACATATACATATACATATACATATACATCCATGCATGCATGCAGACAGACAGACAGACAGACAGACAGACATATACACATGCATGTGTCTATAAACTGCATGTATACACGTGTGCATGTTACCCACCGAGTCACATCAATATGGGCTCTCGGCGCTGGTTTCTTCACCGGGCTCTCGTCCACTTGCAAGACTAAGGGGGCCGGTTTCGGTGCCGCTCCTGAGAAACGAATAGCATAGTAATTACGAATAATTCAACATTCGACCCTTAACTTTGCTAAAAAGCGACACGAGCATGTGCATCAGCCAGATCCGTTCCAGCTGGCCTGTGTTGGATAGAAATAGAGTAGATACCGTTTAAATCGGCAGCAGGAAAATCTTTATAGGACATATTTTCAAAAACTCTTATTGCTGAAATTCGCAGTTTAAGGTACACGCCAAGCGCAGCTTCAAGTTTTCGAATCTCGGCTGTTGTGTCATCCAACTCCTTTTGGGCTGCACATCGGCCAGACCCAGCAGCCTGGGGATTCGGGAGAATCTCCGGGAAGCTTTCCTCCGGCTCCGGGGTGGGTGCCTTTGTTGTCTTCCTTCCTGGTGCTGGTGGGGCCGGCAATGGAATCACTTTTGGCTGCTTTTTAGGTGCTATATCGGCGGTTGCCGGCTTCTTTGCTGGGGATGGCTCCACTATTGGATCACGTGTTCTCTCTTCTTCCTCTGCCTGTTCTTCCTGTGCTCCTTCATTTGTCGTGTCATCACCTTCCTTCCCCTTTGCACATGCCTTTGCCTCAGCCCTGTCATCCTCCATGTCATCGTCTGCTTCCTCCTCCTCTTCCTCCTGCTCTTCTGCGTTACCTTCTTCATCATCCTCGGACTCTTCAGCAACAGAAGGCTTCCTGACGACTTCACCGTTCTTCAGCTTGCGGATCATAACGAACATTTTCTTGATCATTTTCTCCTGAACTCATCAAATTAGACCGTGTGGAAGTATAACCGTGATGTTACTTTATGCTGCCGGTTTAAACGGTAAGTAATAGCTTCTAAATTTCATCTATGATCCCGCGGCGTCTGTCCCCTGCGATGCGCATCCTGTTCCCTACGAATCGCAAAGCCAAGCAAACTCTTTAAGTTCGTTCCAGCATTCTCGCACTCTTTCCCAGACTCCGGGATGTAGCCAACCTTTTCAAAGAGGGCCGAGACCTGACCGATTTAGGGTTTTTAGGGTTTAGGGATTAGGGGTTAGGGTTTAAGGCTTTTCTGATATTCTGGGATTAGTACGTCAAGGATCAGGGGTGTAAGGGTTGTAAGGATTGGGGACTCCCAAGCCTCCTTGCGCATGAGACCAATCGGAACTTTGGCAAGCCCTCGCACATACAGCATTGCACAGATGACCTCTGCGTTCATCGACAATGTTTTTGTCGAGCGCACAACATCATCTCCCTCATCATTCTTCGAGAGCTTAAGCCATGCCGTCTGCCTCCGAAAGCGAGCTCGCACTCTGGGAATGTTCTCCCATTCGGCAGCAAAGCCGAACAGTTTCTTTTTTTTGGGCATGCTACGACTGCATACAATCTCGAACCGGAAATCTTTCGTATATACATATTGCACGCACATGGCACACATACGACAGTTGTTGCCAGCTCCGAAGCACTTAAGGGTGCAGCCACCATCGTCGCAGCACGGGCTGCTTTCTGCAAGGAACGCCTCGCAGCCACTCGATCGGTTCGAAACGAGCTATATGAGTGTCCTCTGGGCCTGAAGACCGCGAGCCGCGAGGAAGCAGCATCGATCCATCATTTAATTATAGTCTTGCATGTCACGGGCTGGCACAGTCCGATCGATACGACCTAAACTATATATAGAATATTCGGATCAAAACGATAACCTGGCAGGGTTCATGATCGACAGCTACTGCAAAACGTAGGGATGCCAATGGCAACCCATGTGCCCTTGTGGTGCCCTTTTGGGCCAGACAGATGCAAGACCTGCAAATGCATTGCTGGCATGGTCTGCACATCGACGCATGTGACCTCCCACCTGCCTCATAAGCCATACAATTAGGAAAGTTGCTGGTTTTGGTCAAAGTTGCTGGTTTTGCTTCCAGGCGCCTTAAAAACAGGCAACTTCTCTAAAGGCGTAGGGTTTGTTGAAAGTTGCTTTTTATTTCTGGCAACTTTGGTTTTGAAGGTGGTCTTAAACTCATCCTTTTGAAGCGGGATGTCCACAGGTCATTCGGGACAGGTTTTCGCAGGCCATCCTGGATGTAGCAAATTAGTGTGCGATTTCTGAAGTCTTTCAACAACACTGAAACTTTTCTTGCAAGCCAACGAAGCTCTGGGATTATCAAAAATGTCGCTTGCTCTGTAACTTAGGGGTTTAGGGTTTAGGGCTAGGGCTTTTGTTCAATCGTACACAGCTCATATTTGAACCACTTTCCTCCCCGTGACCGCAAACGGATCCGTGGCAAGAGATTGTCTTCAAGCCCCTTCGAGACTTTCCTCGATCCCCGTATAGAAACCCTAAACCCCAAACCCCTAAACCCCCAAACCCCTAAACCCTAAACCCTAAACCCGAAACCCTGATTGGAAAAACCATGTCGCAGCGTTCCCCTGCGTGCAGGCCATGTTTGCCGGAAAGTTGGGGCCAAAGTCCGAAACCCACGAACCTCGGCCTGCTGTGTGGATTCTTCAGCGGAAGGTCTGAAGATGTTCCGTCGTGGCCTTTTTGTTCTGCGGGGCCTCTTTGGTTTAGGGTTTAGGGTCTTTGGTCTTAGTTTTGGAAAGCGGGGTTCTTACGTTTAGGTTTGCCTTATGGTGGGGCCTGTATATTCGATAAGGATTCCGTGCAGTTCAGTTTAAGACCCTGACATCCCGAAGCCATGAGAAACCCTAAACCCTTAGCCTAAACCCTGAACCCTCTTTAAGCCCCAAACCCTGAAACCAAGGGCTACTGCGCTTTAAAAAAGAAGGAACCCTAAACCCGAAACCCTATAGACCCTAAAAAAGAAGGAACCCTGAACGCTAAACCTTAAACTCTGATGCCCATGTTTGGGAGCCCAGGAGCACGAGTCGGGGCGCCCAGACGGGCGCCGAAGCCTACCACAGAAGCCTGAAGAAGTACTACTGCTCTTGTATCTTTTTTGTCTTAACCTCAAATAACCCTACCTGTTTTGAACGGTTGATTTGTAGAAAGAAATCCTAACGAGGGGGTCCAGGTAGGGGCTATTATGTACCCCAAAGCAAGAATCCAGTTCTTAAGGCTATACATTACAATGATGCACTTCTCGTCTTTGCCCCAGCTATGTAGCACCGCCGTGACCTCTGTTATGCCTGGAGCTGATGACCATGTCGATGCTTATGTTGACCAATGATCGTCGTGGCCTTTATCGTAGTTATGGTGGCTGCGTTGGTGGCGGCCGTGGTCATGCTTCTTGTAAGGATGTTGACTATTCGTGGTGTGGGTGTCTGCGGGGGTTTCTTGGTGGTTGTTCTTGCTCCTGCAAATGCGCGACATTGATGCACGTTTGACGGGCGTACGCGGGAGGGCGTGGGAGGTCAGAAGCATTGCCTCTTGGGGTTTAGGATGAGAGTGTGGCCTGAGGAGTGCTCCGGGGTTTGGTCCAAGGCTCAAACAGCCATAGTTCTGCGGTAAACCCTGAAGAGTTCGGCCACTTGTTGAGATCCCCGTTTCAAGCTTCCAGCGGAATCCAAGCCCAGTCTGTCCAGGGTTCTTGTTAAGGGATTTTAAATTTAAGTTACTACAAATAGGGATCTAGAGTAAATACCTATTGTGGTAACTTAATTTAGATCCTTTAACAAGAACCCAGTCCCTCTCGCTCTCTCTCTGTCTCTCTTGCTCTCTCCCTCTTGCTCTCTCTCTATCACATACACTCACACACCCATACCATACATGCACACATATACAGACACTTTCACATTTACACCTCGCATTTATATCATCTAAACCTCCGCATTACCTTTCGGTAGACCAAAACCCTAAACCCTAAACCCCTATATACATTCTCACAAGGCTCAAAGCGATGATGAAAGAGGTGGAGGAGAGCGGGGGTTCTGGGCTCTAATATGGGGGGCCTTATCCTTTCTTACGTATACTATTTGGGGGGGTCCATGTTACACTTATACCACCGCAGCATCGTGGGCCCCAAAGCCCTATTCTAATTATTAAGGCTTCTACATTACGGCATTGGCTTGAGGTTAGGAGTTTCGGGGCTTTGGGTTTTAGGCTTTGGGGCTTTAACCTTAGAAATTAAAGACTGTTGTAAATCGGGCCCGTCTTGAAGCCTGAATCCCTCACCTCTCTGGAATCCGAAACCTCAGATGTAAACTAGGTCCTAAACGCCCTAAGCTGTAAACCCTGACAGCAATAACTTTCTAAACCTCAAAGCCAGTGGCAGGAGACAGACTCTGATGACAGATGGAGCCCCAAGGCCCCGCTTGAAGTCCTTGGATTCCGGGGTGCTTCGAGAGGTGTTTCTGGCTTCACCCTTGTGCTTTAGAAACTGTAGGGTTGAGGCTTGTGCCGGTGTGGGTTCTGGGGATCTTTGAGGGTTTCAGGTTTAGGGTTCGGGGTTTAGGTTTTAGGGTTTAGGGTTGAGGGTTTCAGGTTTCAGACAGGTCCTAGTGCTTCAAGATCGCTCCGAACCTGGTTTTTGAGGATAGGGTATTAGAGTCTAGAGGTGGATCTCAGGGTACACGGTCCCGTGTGCGCAGCAAAAGACCAGGAGAACAATATGAGCCCTGAAGGCCAAAGTGTTTATTATGGACTACATTAGATTCTTCATCATAGCCTTGCATCTGGGCCTACCTACAGCTGCACTTGCTTGTGTCCTAGTAGAATTATGAAGCCAACCCATGTGGGTTCGCGTTCCTCTCATGACTATTAGTTGAATTTTGCATGCATCTCTCAACCCCAACCTGCCCCAGCACTCCTCTGCTTGACTAGGAGGCCTCAGATCCTAAACCGGGACCGGCTAAGCTTTAATCCTGATGCTCGAGGTGGGGCTAAACCCTTTAAATCCTACGGCCTATATGAACCAATATATCTAAGCCCCGGAGGGGGGGAAATCTGTACGCGCGCGGCTCCAAAGTCCAAAGACCCTATTGAAATCTTACGAAGCCTGGAATGTCAGGTCACAAAATATGACCGGACCGGGGAGTACTCGACCGTGCAGACAGCACGGGGCCTTTGCGTACGATTCAGGGCTGAGGTCAAGAGTGGTCGATAAGGGTTTAGGGTTTAAGTGTAGAACCCCAAACCCTAAACCCTATAGACCCTACAAGCCCTACAAACCCTACAAACCCTACAAACCCTATAAACCCTATAAACCCGATAAACCCTAAACTTCCCTAAACCCTAAAGTAGGGTCTTTGGGATTAGATGCCCGAGGGTTTGAGGGCGTGCTCGGTGTTTTGGGGCCCCTTCGGATCTCTGAGTAGGACTGCGAGACGCTACAAACAACTCGAAACCCCCATCCTAAACCCTAATTAAGGGCCGGGACTCTGGGACTGCTGTATTAGGGGTTTAGGCTTTAGGGTTTTAGGGTTTAGGGTTTTGTATATGGAGGGTGATGGGTTGGTACGGTAGGATATCGGGTTGAAGGCTAGGGGTCTTGCGATTGCAAGCTAGGTTCTAGGTATTCGATCGAGAATGGTTGATTCCGATGATGTTTCTGCTGTGCGTTGGTACGTATCCGTATCAAGCTTCGTAGATGCTCACACTATAGGCCCCTTGTTATCAAATTGCCTCAGTACAGGGCTTGCAGCGCTCCAAGGTCGATTCAAAGGATGAGGAGCCGGCCGATGTCTTCTTCAACGTGTGCTCCCCGGGGGCGAAAGGATACCGTTGGGGAGGGATCCTTAGGGTGCAGGGAGATGGCACGGGCCCTTTGGGATTCTCTTGGCTACGGAGTTAAAAACGACCTTCAAAAATCCCATGGTTTTGAAGTGTAGGATCTACTGCGTCTGGTTTGCAAGCCCTGGTCTGAGTGCGAAGCCTCAGAGGCTCGGCCCTAATCTGGGCCAGAGTTTGTCCGTCCGCCTTCTTCTTGTAATGTAGGAACCTGATTAAGAAACCCTGGCCCTATAAACCGACAATATCAGGATTCCTATAAGGAACCCCAATAATGACGCCGGGTTTCTTAATCAGGTTCCTACCTTAGCATAAAAGCTGCACGTCGTACCTTTCTGAGCCCGACTCTTCTGTGCAAGACCAGATGAAGATGAGCCGGTTCCATCCTTCGGAGTCTAAGCATCGGTTTAGGGTTTCGGGGTTTAGGGGTTTAAGGTGTAGGGTTTAGGGTTTAGGGTCGTTTTTCAGGGCGCCACGCAGCAATGACAAGCGCAACCTGCCAAGCCTTGTTTACCAGCCACTCGAGGTGGACATGTACGACTCGGTCCTTGTGGCAGCCTTCGGTGGTGTCACCATGCACCATGGCACCAAGTCAGTTCAAATCTGATGGGAATCTGCGGGGGTTTTGGGGCTTCTAACCTTGGTAGCGCGGGAATGTTGTCGAGTGGCTGGTGTGTACTTTATAC